TGCTTTCGAACTGCTAGGTTGGCAGAAGCTCGGACAAGTAACGGGAGCTCGCTCCATTACACGGCTCTAGGAATTTGAACTGCTGAATCGCCAACCTTCTGATCAACAAACTCAGCATCTTAGCCACTGAGCCACTGCGTCCCTCTTACCATAATCCATCTTACCATACGCAATATTTTTTCCAAATGCTTTTTTCATGTTTTGCTGTGTGCTAGAAATATTCATTGCAGGTCTTCATTCCTCCATTGTGTTAATTTAAATATTATATTTTCTCTCTCTTTTTTCCTGTAGTAAAGAAAAATGGCAAAAATGGAGGTGAAGACATCTCTTCTTGACAATATGATTGGGGTTGGAGATATGGTTCTTCTGGAGCCCCTTACTGAGGAAACCTTTATCAGCAATCTCAAAAAACGCTTTGATCACAATGAAATATATGTAAGTGTGCTATAAATAATTTTCATATATTAATTTATAGGGTATTCATTTCACAGAAAGGCATAGATTGAAAATTCTAGACTGATATACGAAATGGTATTTTTCCCCAAACTAAAAAATAAGATTATTAAATGTGCGATATATAACTATATGCTGAACGGTAGATCTATTTTAATGACTGTAATAGATTGAGTAATTTAATAATCTGTTTAACAATTGATGCATAACTACTATAATTCCTCTTGCTGTGTCTTAGTAAAAGGTATTAATAGTGACATATGGCTCATGAGACTATAGAACAGAATGGGTAAAGATGAGATTAGGAGACCTAAATACAGGAGAAAAGGAAGATCGAAGTAGGAATAATTGGTGGAGAAAAAGGGTGGCTTAGGATTTCATTTAAAAGTAAACATCATTTATCTATGCAGTTTCATATTTTTTCTTTATTACTTAACTTGCATAGAGGTAAAAAGATCCTGTTGTTTCTTGAAAGCCTATTGAGCGATTCTCATTTTGGATTAGTGCATCAGTGAAGCCACAACTTTGTTTGAGAGTTTCTTTTATTCAGAGCAGTGCGTTTCTCAATCATGGTTTTTCTTAGCATATTATGCATGCTCAGCCAATTAAGATTTACTGAGCAAATCACATTGTCAGCTCTGGTTCAGCATGGTATGCGGATCCAGCATTTTTCCTGTTCTTTTGAAGTTCTTTGAAACGTCATCTGTTGCCTTAATGCAAATGACAGAATGGCTTCCCTCTCCAAAATTACGTTTAACTCTTTTAAAATAAAATAAAACATTGTTTAGACTTGCCAAAGAGAGGTTGCAACATAAAAATCCTCTTTAAATGTGATGCTTTCTTTTGTTAAAAGAAAAATGTCCATGTCTGAATATCATAGTCTTGGTTTAGAAATAGTGTAACTCTCTCCACTCTTCACCTCTCTACAATTAACTACCATCATCTCTTTCACTTTGATTTGGAGTTTACAGTTTCCCACTGAAAAGAGCATTAACATTAATCTGGATTACATTCTCAAAATTGCTTAACGTTCTCCTGTTCATTCCCCCGTATATGAGAATTATAGCATTATATGCTGTACTTCACTTTGTTTTCAAAACTTCATTCCTGTGGTTGAAAGGATTGCTTAGTAATGAAGGAGGATTGTAAAAAATGTCACACTTCTACATATATATTAAAGACATGTAAAAGTCAGCATTATTTTCTAAAACCAAGTCAGCAATTTATGATTGCTCAGGTTATGTGTTCTACTGTTGATTTGAAATTTACAGTAAGGGTGTCATAGTCAAGGCAGATTACTCTGTCAAACCTGATATATAAACTGATTACCGTATATACTCAAGTATAAGCTGAGTTTTTCAGCCCACTTTTTGGGCTGAAAAAAGCCGCCTCGGCTTATACTCGAGTCAGTGAAAAATTTGCCCGAAATGGAGGAGAAAAGGGGGCGGGGCCATGCCGCTGGGTGACGCTCGTGAATGGCCCGGCACCCCTGTGAGTTTTTCCTGCCTCTGTGTCAGTTTTCCACGCAGCGCGCACCGCACCATCCCCCCTCCTCACGTT